GGTTCAACGCCCGTCTGCCACTTGTTCGTTCATGCCATAGTGGCGCCAAACACGGCTTCAGGCAAGAAGGAAAGCACTTCCGGAACTGTCCAAAACTGTCCGCTGTCCACATGGATGACATCGCTCCGCCGATCACGAAATGAGATATAACATTAAGCGCGGAATTTCTGCGAGTTAAAATTAATGGTTTAATACCTATTACAACGATTGGCCATAGCCGAGCAGTGGTGGCAGATGTCAGGTCATGCGAACATAATTTTTGAAGTAAACACTCGCAAAGTGGATAAATTAACTCGAACAATGCCGCACAATTATCGTTTAACATACTTGTTGTCATGGAAGCGATACGTGAATTATTCATTATTCGGCAGCGCCAGAAGTAACAAAAACGAGTAGGTTCACCTGGTCCGTCGATCCATGAGATTCTAGCACTCTTAATTGGTGCGACACGTAAGAGAATCAGACTCAGAGAACGGTAAACAATTAAAAAAGCCGCGTCCATCACATGGGAGTTTCCTGTTTAGCACAACGAATGCTTACCTCAAAAAGTCATCTTTATGACATCGAAATGACTGGCACTTGTGCTGAGCTCATGCGACTTCCAGTGACGATGCGGGTCATTGTTCGGCTCTCTGGCAGCGGCTAATTGCCGGAATGAAACGCATGAACGTTAATCTGATTTGAAAAATGTCTGGACAGCCGTTATATCGGCTACTGGATGGGGTACTGCAGAATGAGGGCCACCGTAGTGCGGGGAAGGGCCAAAGGGAATTGAAGGAAGGGGCTGTTCTAGGGTAGAAAAGATTAGCCTCGACTTTCGGCGTTTGCCGTTGGTGCTAGGGAGGCGATCGCTCTTGGGTCAGTTGGTAGCCATTTCGCAGTGCTGGCAATTGCGAACCGGCGCGCATGCTTACAAAGAGGATGTCTGATGGGGAACAGCACTGACTATGGGTCGGTGAAACAATTGGATAAAACGTCAGTTTGCCAGTGACAACGGCGACAATGAATATTTAATCGTTTCAGATGAAAAAGACGGTCAGCATAATGGACGGAGGTAGAAGTTGTGTTCGTTTCTCACCGTTTAAGGGTAATTTTCCATTATTAGCAAAAGTGACAGTCAATTCGTTTTCAGCTAAACATCTATAAATTATTTTGC